GTGTGTGTGTTCTGTATAGAGTTTATAATTGTTATCTGTGGGAGGGTCAGGCCCAGCTGTAATCTATTTGGTCATACCCGAAATGAAAAGCCATTATAACAAAATAAAATTAATTAATGAAAATATTAAAATTATTTTTAAAATATAAAACTTACTCTTAAACTCACAATCCTGAAAGAATCACTGTTCACATGATATGCATCTTCCAGCATATGTATTTGTGTGTGTATATAAACATTACATACATATTTAAGATCTTAATTTATGTGTCATCTTATAAGCTGTTTTTTATTTAATAGTTATTTCAGATGTTATAGATTGGTTTGCTCAACACTCACTTTCCAATTCAATGCCATTGTCTCTCTTCTTCTGTTACTGTAAAGATTAAGAAGCTAATAATCCCATTTTTTAAAGCCTCTCTTGAAACTAGAGGTAGTTATGTTATTCATCTCTGGTCAATAAGATGTGAGCAAATTCTGCTGGAAGGGGCAATGGATGGAAAACTTTTGCTTTCTTCAATATTAGATCTTCGTGTCTGGAGCTATATCAGTAAAATACATTTCTAACTGAGATTAATATAGAATAATAGTATAGGATCATTTGCATCTTCTTAAATATAATTTAAAATCATGATATTAAATGTCATATTACTTTATTTTATGAGGGTGTCATACTATAAACTACTAGCAATGTAATGTTATATCCCATTTCTCTCTGTTCTGTGATATTATAGTATACCCTGATTATGTATCATAGAATAAATTCTCGAAGTAGACTTGCTAAATATTTTAAGGGTTTGATGTATACTATCAGATTTACATTTTAGTAGGTTATACAACTTCAACTACAAAAAGCAGTGTATGAAGATTGCCTTCTACCTCTTTTTGCAAATCTAATTTTTAAAATCTTGATTTAACAAAAAATGTCCTATTTTTTCCTCTTCATGTCAGAGGAATTCGATATTTTTCTCTTTTCTCACACCCTCTGACTCTAAAAGATATATACCTTGAATGCTGTTCCATCGTATAAACACATGGCATGTTCTCTCACCCTCTCTGGGTCTTTGCTTTTGTCACCAACTAAGTGAAATTATTTCTCCATCCCTACTACCATATTTAAAATTGCATATCCCAACCGTTCTGTCCACTTTCATTGCTTTGTTTTTCGCCATCTGATAATCTGTCATATTCTATAGTTTAATTATTTACTTGTTCATTGCCTGTCTCCCTCTGTAGAATTGAGCTCTATGAGGAAAGGGTCCCCCCCGCTTTCTTCTTGTTTTGTTGACTGCTGTATCTCAAGCACATAGAATAGGCCCTAGCATATAGATGATCAATATGACTTGAATAAATAAGTGTTTCAAAACTGTAAATAATTTTATCTATGGCTATATGCCTTCATTTTCTTCAGAAACAGTTTAAAAATAATTCTTAAAATTTACTTAAGCAGTAATTGAGATCAGTGGTTCTTAAAAGTGTGGTTCCCAGACCAGCAGCAGCAGCATCCCTTGGGAACTTATTAAAAATGCAAATTCTCATGCCCCACCCACAGAGTCTCTGATTTAATGTCTGTGGTGGGGCCAAATAATTCGCTTTTCCAAAGTTGTATTTTAACAAATGCTTTAGGCAATTTTAATGCACACTGAAGTTGGATTATCACTGATTTAGACTCATTTGTTTTTCTATTTTCTTTCACTACTTACCCCCAGTCATTTTTATTTTTACACATCCTTTCCTCATTCATTGATGCTAACTTTTAGTTAATTTTTCACTGAACAAAATGTATTTCAGCATTCATTTTTTTTTCCTTTTTGTCTTCTTTACTGACCGGTAACGGGATCACAACCTTCGGTGTCGTGCCCGCACCGGGGACCGGCAACGGGATCGCAACCCTCGGTGTTGCGCCCGCACCGCGCTCAGCCAGTGAGCGGGAACCGGTCTCCACATGGGATCCGAACCCTCGGCGGGAGCACTGCCGCGCTCCCAAGCGGCGCACTCTCCAGTGCGCCACCGGGCCGGCCCTCAGCATTCATTTTTAATTTTCAGGCATACCTATATTTCTAACTGTCTGAGGTAGGCACTATAAAGGGTTCTCCAAGAAGTGGAAATACAACATAGCCATAATCTGCAACTGTTTTATCCATCTAAAAATTGCAGGTTTTGGGCCAGCCCGGTGGCGCACTGTGCTAGTGCGCCGCTTGGGAAGCGCGGAGGCGCTCCCGCCGAGGGTTCGGATCCCACATACAGACCGGTTCCCGCTCACTGGCTGAGCGAGGCGCGGGGGCAACACCGAGGGTTGCGATCCCGTTGCCGGTCCCGGTCCAGTACGGGGGCGACACTGAGGGTTGCCATCCGTTGCTGGACACGGAAAAAGACAAAAAAAAAAAAAAAAAAAAAAAATTGCAGGTTTTGTACAGCTCTGGATAGTGATGACTCATTCTGTGTATAGAGTCAGACTTCCACTTGCTAAGAAATTACTGATAGAAATGGCTTTCACATTGCATTTTCTTCCCCTGAGAGTAAATAAGTTACTTGGAAATGAGGGCATAATATCCATGAGTTAATCTTCCAACACAGCATGTACATGTGTGCACACACACATTCCATTGTCAATGTTTGCACTCTATTTCTCTGAAATGAGGTTAGGAAGGCAGGAAATTGAATGAGAAATATTTGCAAAGATGACATTTAATTACATATTTGTTTAGGGTCCATCATTATGCTAGTTCACTATGTAGGTGAAGTATTTATTGAACAGAACTGAACATGATTAGACAAGTCCTGATTACTGACTCATATGTTTGTTCTGAGGAATAAGATAGTGTAGTGGATGTGCTGTGAAAAATATAAAAGATAACATACATGCCAAATGTTATTACAATATTTTATATTAATTACATATACTTAATATTTATTAAAATATTAATACAATAGTTTACAAAACCATTTTTGTACTATGTTTTTAGTGTAACAACTTAAATTTTAAAACAGTTCAGGTGTATTTTTTATCTGTGACTCAGGAGTAAAAAGAAAATCTAGGCATGTAATGGCAAATAAGTCTTCTGTGCAAATGCAAATTGATTTACATTACCTTCTGCAGTGCATGCTTAAGAATGATTCTGAAGCCAACTCTGGGTTCACTCAGAAACAATGAAGTGATCCATTAACAATGTCTGCTATTGGGGAAGAACATGGAGTGCTAACATTTGGTGCAATACATTTGAAATCTCCAATGTTGTGTTTGCATATTAGTACTTTGAATATAATATAAAATGAAGTAATTGTTCAGAAATTCACTTTCATTCACCTGCAATCACAATTCATCTGCAGTCTTTAAAAAATGGCAAGTAGAAGAAACACAGTGCTGTTAAATTTGTGATTCATTATGTTAATGAAAGAACTTGTGTTTGATAGGAAAAGTCTTTGTGATTCAATATCAAGTTTAATGCCATGTACCTCAGATTCATTGTCATTCATGAATAAGCATAGAAACTTTACTTTGTTAAACCACATTGTGTACAAGTCTCAGTAACAATCCTAAAGTAACTTTCCCAAGGTACCACAGCTAGGAAGTGGGAAAACCAGAACTTAAATGGAGCAGTCTGGCTCCACAGTCCATACACAGCATGATCACATGTTGTGAAACATACGGGAGAAAAACAGAGGAGAATGCAGGAGCCCACGCCCAGCCTAGGCAGCACAACCTCAGCAAAAGTCCTGTGGCCCTCTCTCTTGATTTTATCATTTCCTTGTTTTTTTTCCTATTGTACCACATTTGTATTTATCCTTAAACGATTTTGGTAAGTTTTACAGTTTGGGGAATTCATACAGTGTCATATTGCGTGTATTCCAGGAATTGTGTGTTTTTTTGTTTGTTTGTTTTGTTTTGTTTTTGTCTTTTTCCATGTCCGGCAACGGATCGCAACCCTCAGTGTTGCCCCCGGACCGGGGACCGGCAACGGGATTGCAACCCTCGGTGCTGCTCCCGCGCCTCGCTCAGCCAGTGAGCGGGAACCGGTCTGTACGTGGGATCCGAACCCTCAGGCGGGAGCGCTGCCGCACTTCCCAAGCGGCGCACTTATCCAGTGCGCCACCGGGCCGGCCTCTCAGTAACAATCTTAAACAGTCTTGATTTATGCATAGTGAAGGTATTTTAATTATAAAAATAATACATGTACAAAATTCAAACAGTATACAATAAAAAGGAGGTCTCTCTCTCACCCCAAACCCCAATCGTGAAGTCCTATGGCCAGTGGCAACCACTATTAAGGGTCTTCCATATTTTTTCAAACAAATTCTATTCACATACAAATATATGTCTATACACATACATACATACAAACACACACACACACAGAAACAGAGAGACAGAGGTGAACACACAAAGGCTTTTGTACGCAAATAGAAAAATATTATATACATGGTTAAGCAAACTTTTTTACACTTAACAATATATCTTAGACATCATTCCTGACCAGTACATTTGTATCCTCAGCTGCTTTCTTTCATTTTCTCTCAATTTTTTGATAACACTTTTTACATAAATAACAACTCCTATATAAAGTTTTATGCTGGGTGATAATATTGAAGAGAAGGCTTATACAAATGGCCACACTCATTTATACAAGGCAATAAACAGATTTGCAAATTCAATTCTAATAATATGTGGTGCTTAAATACACAACACCCAAACAACTCAGGAATTGTCAGCATATGTAACTTACTCCTCCATTGCTCTGGTTATTCAATTTATTCACAATTTTTTAATGCTTTCCGTTTCAGTCTGAACATGTAGATAACTTATAATAATTGAGTATTTTTTTTTTTCTTTTTGTCTTTTTTTCGTGCCCGGCAATGGATCGCAACCCTCAGTGTCGCCCCCGTACCGGACCGGGACCGGCAACGGGATCGCAACCCTTGGTTATTCAATTTATTCACAATTTTTTAATGCTTTCCGTTTCAGTCTGAACATGTAGATAACTTATAATAATTGAGTATTTTTGGTTATTCAATTTATTCACAATTTTTTAATGCTTTCCGTTTCAGTCTGAACATGTAGATAACTTATAATAATTGAGTATTTTTTTTTTTTTTTTTGTCTTTTTTTCGTGCCCGGCAATGGATCGCAACCCTCAGTGTCGCCCCCGTACCGGACCGGGACCGGCAACGGGATCGCAACCCTCAGTGTTGCACCCGCACCTCGCTCAGCCAGTGAGCGGGAACCGGTCTGTATGTGGGATCCGAACCCTCGGGCGGGAGCGCCGCCGCACTCCCAAGCGGCGCACTGTAGCAGTGCGCCACCGGGCCGGCCCCAATAATTGAGTATTTTTAAAACTATTTTCTATAAAAGTTTCGGTATCAAGTTTAAACTCTTATTTCCATCCATTGCTTCCATGTAAAGATCCTTTTTCAAATTCATGTGTAACAAGGTGCAATATCTTTCTAAAGGCTTTTTAACATTCTTTAAATTCAGAATATTTCTAAGGTTAAACAGAACCTTCAGTTCAGTTAGATTTCTCACATTCATGTCACTCATGAGATTTCTCTTCTGAATGAGTTTTCACATGTTTGGTAAGGGATGCATTTTGTTTAAAGGTTTTTCCACATTCATTACATTCATAGGGTTTCTCTCCAGTGTGGGATCTCTGATGGATAACAAGTTGAGACTTTGCATTGAAGGCTTTTCCACATTCATTACATTCATAGGGCTTCTCCCCAGTGTGAGTTCTCTGATGTACAATGAGGTGTGACTTTTGGCTAAAGGCTTTCCCACATTCGTTACATTCATAGGGTTTCTCTCCAGTATGAACTCTTTGATGTTGAGTAAGGCCTTCAATTTGTTTAAAGGCTTTCCCACATTGATTACATGCAAAGGGACTTTCACCTGTATGAGTTCTCATATGGTAAGTAAGAGATGAGCTATGTCCAAAGGCTTTTCCACATTCATTACATTTGTAAGGTTTCTCTTTAGTATGAGTTCTTTGATGTATAATGAGGTGTGACTTCTTGCTGAAAGCTTTCCCACATTCATTACATTCAAAGGGTTTCTCACCTGTATGAATTTTCATATGTTTAGTAAGGGATGAACTATACTTAAAGGCTTTTCCACATTCATTACATTCATATGGTATTTCACCTGTATGAGTTCTAACATGTTCAGTAAGAGATGAGTTATACCTAAAGGATTTTCCACATTCCTTACATTCATAGGGCTTCTCACCTGTATGAGATCTCACATGTTGAATAAGGTTTGAGCTGTGTCTGAAGGTTTTCCCACATTCAGTACATTCATAGGGCTTTTCTCCAGTATGAATTCTTAGATGGTCAGTGAGGGCATGTTTATGACCATGGGCTTTGCCACACTGAATACATTCATAAGGTTTTTCTCCAGTGTGAGTTCTTTGATGTACAACAAGGTGTGACTTTTGGCTAAAGGCTATCCCACATTCATTACATTCATATGGTTTCTCCCCAGTATGAATTCTCTGATGGTCAATAAGTCCTTGTTTATGGCTGAGAACCTTTCCACACTGATCACACTCATAGGGTTTCACGCAAGCTTGAGTTTTGTCGTGGTTACTAGAAGAACTATGGCTAGATGATTTCTCATGTTTCTGTCCAATTTGAATTTTGTCTTGCTTAGTACGGGATGAGCCATGACAACATAATTTCTTAGGTTTCTTGCCAGTTTGAGTTTTGTCACATTTATCAGATGAGCTGTGGTTGGATAATTTTTCATGTTTCTTTCCAGTTTGATTTTTGTCTTTCTTTGTATCAGATAAGGTATGGCTAAATAATTTCCTGTGTTCTTTAGCTACATCGGATTTCTTTTTTGCACAGTTTCTTACATGACCATGTATGTCCAGATTCTGTTTCAAACTCTTTCCATGTGAATCAAATTTAAGGCTTTTTGTTGAAGGGTTGTGTTTTGTACTCATGCTATTTCTTTTCCCCCTTGAACCACTCTCACTGCCTTTCTTCTTAGTCAGAGTTTTCCTCTTGAATGCAACCTCCCTAAGGAGTTTGTTCTGAGATTCCTGGTTATTCTCTAGCTGGTCATCATCTAGCTTGACTTCTAAAATGGAATTTAATGAGACATTCTTGTAAATTTTTGCACTCTCATATTTTGGAACAAAACTTGTAAAGAAATGCCCTAGGTGGGAATGAATCTTTATTCAACCCTAGTATCCCAACGTGAAAGAAATATCAAAGGTAAATGTCCCTATCCTTTTGAACTTGAAAAGGAGAATGCTATAGTAAAAAAAAGATAAAGATAATTGACAAAGTGATTAGAAACAGCTTTGGGTACTTAAAAATATGACCTAGAGGGCTGGCCCCGTGGCTCACTTGGGAGAGTGCGGCACTGGTAGTGCCGAGGCCGCAGGTTCAGATCCTATGTGGGGATGGCCGGTGTGCTCAGTGGCTGAGTGTGGTGCAGACAACACCGTGCTGAGGGTTGTGATCCCCTTACCAGTCAAAAAAAAAAAAAATTATGACCTAGAAACCTGGGATAGAAGATGAAAAAAACACCAGAAGTACTGAAAAGGGAGTAGGTGAAGTTAAAAGAGCTTATGATTGTAGTTGACGCTTTTTGAGGTCTCCTTTCAACCCTAGCTGCCCAACTGATAATTCCCAACCTACCCATAGTATTTGGGTAGCCTGTACTATATTACTCCAACTTCGCAATTGAAGTCACAGTTGGAGACACATCTGGCTCAAACCAAGATGTCCAATAAGATTCTTCCTCCTAAAACTTCAGACTCTAGTTAGTTTCCACTTGGTGTTTAAATTTAAAAATGATATTGGGCAGGTACTAGTAAAGCTATATTTTCCCTCTCTAAACAGAAAGTTCATCAGTACAAAGAATAAAGCATACATACAGAGAATCAGAGATGTGAGATTGTGTGTCCTCAAAGAGACTACGTAATTTCAGTTCCCAATGGCTTCTGAGTTTCTGGTTTTAGTCCCTTCTGAGGTCTGGCTGAAGTATCTGCCCTAAGGTTACAAGAGATATACTGATGTCCTTATTGTAAATTCCTCTATTTACTTAGGCTAGCTAAAGTAAATTTTTGTTATTGTACCTGAGAGAGCCAGAATAGAGAACATAAGGTGAGTCCATCAAAGAGTACTGAAGAGCTAATAGGTGACTGAGAATAGCAGGAAAGGGTGTTCCATTGCTGACCAAAATAACAATGACATTTCTATACTGAAAAACAGAAAAAAAAAAAAACAAACAAACAAACAAAACCCTACAGTTTCTCTGAGTTCCCTGATGCTTTTATCAAATGATAAAAATCACAGTAATTAGCTTGGCAAACAAACTTTACACCATCTGGATTTACAGTGTACACACACACTTGTTTTCTAACAGTTTGCCATGGAGTACACCTTTATCCTTGTCATGTCATTCTAATTGCCAATTATAAATTTTAAGTATATTCCCAGCTCTAAGTGGTTGCTCAAATTCTGTCCTCCATTCATTATACAATTATACTTGTACATTTTGAAATGTCTTCTTAGCCCCTGCTTCCCCTCTCTGAGACCACCACCCACCTTGACAGATGTTAGCAGCCTCGTTTTTACTATATGATCCAACTTCTGGCTGAAAATAATTGATCAGACGATGGTAAACACCAAGCCCCAGCTAGTCCAATAAAATCCTTTCTCCTAAGAATTTGGAATTGAAACTAAAAGACTTCTGTTAGCTAGGCATCGATACTACATGTATAAAAACCTATGAACTTTATAGCTGGGGCTGCCATTTGTGGGTGGCCTTTTTCAGCTATATGTGTGGAAAAGCAAATAAAGCTTCAGAATGAGAATTAGGCAGACTCAGAGAAGCAGACATAAGAGTTCCCATAACCTCAGAAAGAAAGAGATAGAAAGTGAATAGTCCTGATGGTGGTAAAGGAACATGACATGGAGAAAATGAAAACTGAATTCAAACAGAAGAGTTATGGTATTTGAATAGACAGCCAAGAGATCCTATTACTTTTATGGAAGGCATTTAAGAGATTAGCTCCCGTGGAGTAGATCAGTTTTTGGAAGAATAGATACAGTAGGGAGCCTAGAGAAGTGGAGTTGCTGGCTGCTTTTTCATTTAGAAAATTTTAAGTGATGCAATACCCTGGGAGAAATTGTGTAACAGGACATTTTAGGTAGCATGACAAGGCTGCATCTTCCAATGGCCAAGGATGATGGAGAAGATGGGGGCAAATTTCCTGCTGGGAAGAAAGGGATCAAAACTCAAACCTCTCCTCTTGACGTGTAACATTATAAGAACCTCTTACAATGGTGGATTAGCCTGGTCCCAACTGACATCTGCCCCCAGGAAAAGATATAGAGCCCTACAAGAGAAATTTACCATAAGGGAAAGGAGGAGAACCTGAACTAGTGAACTGGTATAATAACAGGGTATTACTAGGGGAGAGTTGGGTCTGGCAGAGCATTTGATTAAAGCTGGAAGATTTCCCTGAATTTGAGACAATAACTAAAACATGAATTTTAAGCTAAAACAACTATAACCTCAGAAACTTAAATATAGAGCTCACTAGGCCCAGAAAATCCCTGGAGGGAATAGAACAGCCCTTCCTTGAGGAACTTCCAAGTACTTTGTAAGAACCTGAACCAAGAAGAGAGTCACTGTAGCAATGACAAAGATGTATTGAACAACTTAGGATTATTTTTCAGTTGTAACACCAAGTGTCGGCAAAAAAGTAAGGATAGCCAAAACTGGAGCTGCTAATGGATGGATCAGAAACTCCATGAGGTCTGATGTCATTTGAAGGACTGGTCCCTCTGGTCTCAGGAAATTCATGGGCTATTGGACAATTCAGGGTCAGAGGAAACTTAAAAAAATATGGCCGACATTCTGCTAATATGGGAACTGTAGCGATGTAAATAATAACAAAATATTTTAATGTTTGGTGGTAACATCTAAGATGAACTAGAAAAAAATGATTCAATAAATCTATCAAAGAAGTGGGACAATTTAGGTATGAGATAATCCAAACCTGATTTGTGTGATATCAGTGAGAATTGAGAAGAAAAAATAAAAAAGTAGGAATTGAGGAGAGGATAATAACTCCATGGGGGACAGGCCCTAAAAAATCAGAGTAGACCCTGATAAAAATAGAGAAGGTGAAAGGAACATCTAATTTAGAAAGAAAGACAAGCTTTCAATTTCTGACACCCTAAGAAGGAGCTGTCCTGTAAGCAGAGTAGATATGAGTATAAGAATTGGAGATTCCATTTGGAAGTCAGCAGTGTGAATAAATAGCTGGTACTTGCTTAATGGATGATCTCTTTGAGGAAAATACAATAGAAAAAAAAAAACAGTAGAAATACAATAGAGGAAAAAAACCCTTAGGGACACCTGAATAAAGTGAGAAGGAAGAGAAGCTGGTGAGTCAATGGTAAAGAAGCTCTTAGAGACACAGGATAAGATATGATTTAAGTTGTACAATTCTAACTAGTTCTGCAAGAACTTCAGGCTAATCAAAACTATTTAAGTATGCACTGGAAGGTAAGTGGTGGTAACTTTAAAGTCAGAAATTTAGATACAGGCATGAATTTTGTGGAATTTGACTGCAGGGGTTGAGGAGTAAATGGAAATAATGATGTGTTATAGACTGTAAGTATAGAGCATTTCACAGTGAAAGGAGGGAAATGGAAAGAAATTAGGGACAGAAACATCCTGCCAAGACACTTGGAAAGAGGATGGATCTAAGGAGAAAATTTGGTACCCTGGGGTCAGTCTTGAAGTGTGGGTGGAGGAAGGGAGAAAAACTGAGGATACTGGGAAAAGGGAGGATAATTTTAAAAAGCATCATTTTAGACAAGGTAAGCAGGAATGAGATTAAGAGAATAGCTAAGACTATTAAACTTTGCTCCTTCTAAAAGTTGAGAAATGGAGCATATGGATAAGAGAAGGAGCTATATGGAGGGGTCAGGTAAGCATGTGAGGGGCTGGTACCAAAGGTTTGGAGCCCTGCTTTTCCTACCACGACCTGAGTTGTATTATTGTTCCCTGTGGAAGGATTATACCTCCCAGTCACTCCCAAATGCATGCCCATTGGAATTGTACCCCTCCCTGGGGAAAGATTATACATTCCAACCCTATTGAACACAGGAATGACTAGGTAGCTTGCTCCGACCAATAAAACGTGAGCCAAAAGAAACATCTACAACTTCTAAGCATTCACCCTTTTTACCCTGTACCATGAGACTAGAATTTGCCAAATGGGGAATGCTCTTTCAGTGCAGGTCCCCGAATGAAGATAAAATAGAATAGGGCTGCCGCTTGAGCAAGAAATATCTTTCTTCCTGTAAGTCACTAAGATTTATGGGTCATTCTTTATTGGAGCAACAGTCTAAGCTGACTGACACAAGTGATATAACCAAACTCCCACAAGTAACACTCACTCACCACTCTAGTGAATCCCACATGAGAACCCTCTTGTGGACAGGTTCATAGAAAGAAGAGATATTAGAACCTCCAAGGTTAGAGACTATGGAGTTTGAACTCTTCTCCCCCCAGGAGATTCTGATATTTTTCTACTGCTATTTCCTGGTTAAGAAAGAAGGATCTGGGATCTTTAAGAAAAATTTAAGAATAAATTATTCTTTTAAGAATTCCAAAGTTACTACCAATAAACTAGGAACTCACTTCCATTGGCTCCTATTTGCTTGGGACTTTTTATTTTACTTGGATGACCTTGACTGGGTCTTTTCCCCTTCCCCAACCATGGCTCTTCCCCTTTTTCCAACTTGGTGATCATATCCGGTTTGGAAGCTTGATGCCCTGTTCAAGAGAAATCATATAAATTGACTGTTAGAACAATAACCATCACAGAAACAATGCCCCAACATTTGCGCTTCTGGGCCTTTTAAGGCTAAAGAATACATGGCTTCTGAAGTTACACAATGCAGAGGCCCATGTACCTCACCCAAATAGACCCTCCATTTTGGAGGCAGGGGCATAAGTATCCTGTCTAGTATCCCAAAGGGATTAAAACTCTTACCCGTAAAAATCAAGAACAGACTTATCAAGGACTTCAGAGAGAAGGTATCAAAGTGAACACATTTGGAATTATGAAGGAATTGTCCTTACCTACTGAGGCTAGGTTGCTGTAGTTCTCCAGCATCACATCCTTGTACAGGTTCTTCTGGGTGGGATCCAACTGCTCCCATTCCTTCTGAGTAAAGGCCATAGTCACATCTTTGAATGTTACTGATCCCTGTAATAGCATATTCCTGTTCAATTTAATGTTATCCACATTCGGTAAATGATTTGGACAAAATAATGATTTGTTCTTACCTTGACCACTCACTGTTGGTCATGATGTTATATAGGATACCTATTCTCTACCCAATTTTGCACTTTTTGAAAAACAAAAACCATATTAAGAAATGTCCTATGGTAAGTTTCTTTGATAAAATCATACAAATGTCAGACAGAAATGCAATTTACCAAAAACAAACAAAACAAAACCAAAAACAAACAAACCCCACCAGAAACAGAATCAGTCTTTATCTTTTCTTCTATAACCATGGATGCTAAAAGGCTATGGAGCAGTATTTGTAGTTTATAGAGTTCTGAGGTAGAAGAATAGAGACCCTTGGTTTTTATAACCAGTCAAAAAATCATTTATGTTTGGCAGCAAAAGTAAGATATTTTAGGCATAAGGATACAGAAAGTATATACCTATGTACTTTAGAAATAAAGAAGGAGAGAGGGAGGGAGAAACAGAAAGGAGAGGGAAAAAAGGAAAAGGAGGAGAAAAAGAATGATATTTAAAAGAAGGAAAATAGAATCAGAATAAAGATTTCAAGAATGGGAGAGACTTAATAATATACAAGAGAAAACAATGAGTAATAAAACCAATAAAATGTCTAGTTAAATCTAAGTAAGTTGATAACATGCTTGTGCAACTGTTATTAAAGTATTCTTAAAATCAAGAGGTATAAAGTAAGAAAAGTAAGCAGGAATATAACTGGGAGGAGTTTGGAGTAAGGGAGAAATTAAAGCATGTTAAAGTTCTCCTCTTATTGGCAGGTAGGAGGAGAATGATACAACTATTGGAGAATTTTGATACTAATAAATATACATTCAAACATGTTTCACATTTAAAAATAATCCCTTACCCCCACATAACACAAATCAATTACCTGCATGTATCACCAATCTCTAACCCCGAGACCTCCAGTCACTGACTCCTAATAACACCCCCATCACTGATTGTCACGGGCCTTCCAAACTCTGAGCCAGTATAGCCCTCCCTAATCACTGAGCCTGCAATTCCAAAATGACTGACTCCAACAAACTTTCCAATCACTAACAGCAACAGATCTCCCCAGTCACTTGGTCCCACAGACGATCTAATCACATATGCCCATAGGTTTCTCAATCATTATTACACATAGGACATATGAATCTCTGTCTCCCATATGACCCCAAATCCCTCCTCCTACCAATCCCCAATCAGTGTCACTATCAGAACTCTCAAACAGTTGCCTTTACGGAAGCCCTAATCACTGTCAACAAACTCCACTACACCCTCTACCTCTTTTGCCAGTCCCTTCACCTGGCTTCCTTTAACTGAAATCTGTCTTCTGAGGATCCTGCTTCCTTACAGTAGTCTCTAGTGGAGGTTGTTTGTCTTTTTTTTTCCCCCCAATGACTCATGTACTTCAGGGTCTGAAGATGAGGTAAATGATTATTTTCAACCATTTCTCATTCTTCCTTCAAAACCCGTAGCTTGTTTAGCGTGTCACCAGACTTTAATCCATTAGTCCTTCTTGTTTCAGTGATTTGCTAGAACTCACAAGACTGAGCATAAGTTGTATTCATACCTATGATTTATTACAGCAAAAGGATACAAAGCAAAATCAGTTAATCAGAATGGGAAGCAGCCCAGAGGAAACTGGACACAAGCATCTACAAGTACGTTCCTAGCACAGTGTTATAACACCAATGTCAAAGGTTCGGATCCCTGTACTGGCCAGCCACCAAAAAATTTTTTAAATTTAAAAAATAAATAAAAGTACTCTCCCAGTGGAGTCACATAGGACGTTTAATTCCTCCAGAAGTGAGTTGTGACAACACATGTGAAATGTTGTCTACCAGAGAAGCTCATTAGAGATTCAGTCCCAAGGTTTTTACTGGGGGCTGGTCATGTAGGGACTCCCTGCTTGCATGTACAAAAATTACAGAGTCCCAGAAGGAAAACAGATGTTCAGCATAATCCACATCGTTTATATACTTTTGGCAAAGGGAGCCAGTCTTAGTTCTGGGAATGGTAGGAATCCTCCTGATGTCTAATTTCCTGGATGCCAGCCAAAGGTCAACCTTGCAAGCAGGCCTGTCTAAGGATAGCATTTTTAGGCTGCTATGTTAACTCTTCCCTGCAGTCATCCTGTCTCTTTCACTGAAAACTTTAGCAGCAGCTTCCTCTTTGCCACAGCTCCTGCCAACATTTTGCACTACCTGTATATGAATGTAGAAGAGCCATTCAACACCCTGGCCTCTCTCTTCCCTGATGCCAATAATCTTTTCTTCTACCTAAATTCAGCCACCTACTCATCACCAATCCATACCTTGTACCTTGCCATCACTATACCACCTCCAAAATCACTGCTTAGAACGTCCTACTCTCTGACCATCTTTTCCTATCCTGCCAGCTCACTTTTTTAGTACTTCTACTTCAGTAATTCTCCAGAGTCATTGAGCCATCTGATCCATTGATTCTAACCACTTTTTTACAATCTTCCACCCCCACACAGCCTAACTTTCTTTCTTGTTTAGATTCCCTGTTCTAATACCATACACACTCCATTGAAAATTTTAAAGCTTTGACTTTCTCTCCCATCTTCTCTTCCGCTGTACTCACCTATCAAAGCTTCAACCTTGGGTAAACACAACTCTCCTCTTAATCTCTGCCTGCAACTTTGCAGCTGAACATTGCAAGAGAAAAATCAAACAACTGTTCTGACTGGACTCACTTCACATTTATAATACATATCTCAAACAGGCATCCAATACTGTCAGCAATCCTACTACGTATCCCTAGAAAATTTACATTTCCTCTTCTCAGTATGATTACTCCAAACCTTCTCTTTCTCTCTGAAATCTATAACATCTACAACTTTCCCACTCTCAGCTGATGAATTTGCCTTATACTCCAAAAAGAAAGTACATGCAAATGGATAAGAATTACCTTGCCTTGTTACCAACAATTCTACCAACCTGTTTCCAAACCCATACATAATATACCTTCCCTTTTGTTAAAATGGAAGAAGTCTTTCTTCTTTCTCTCACCTAAGGCCAGTTTCTTCATTTGTGCTCTCAATCCCAGCCCCAACTGCCTTCCCAAGGACTTCACTCCTGCAATTATACCTCTTTCTCTTTTATACTCTATTTCTCCCTGTCTACTGGATCATTCCCATTGACATACAAAGTTGCCTTAATATCATTCATCTGAAGAAAGCCCTCTCTTGATTTCATGTTCCATCCAATAAGCACTGTATATACTTGCTGTTTCCACTTCTTTACCTCCCATACTTTCAACTCACACCAAGGATTTTACCTCCGTCACTCTACTGAAAGAGCTCTAATCCATCAAAATAACCATTGAGCTACATCTGGGCAAAGTCAAATTCTCTGTAGTCATACTTTGAGACTCACAAGAGTGCATGACATAATTGATTACTGCCATTGTCTTAAAGATCTTTCTTCTCTATGCCTCTTTGACACTACACTTGGCAGCTTTCCTCCTACCTCGGTGACCACCTCTCACTCTCCTTCTGGTTTTTGCTTTTTACCAAACCTCTAAATGTCACAATGACCCAGGCCTCTGTCCTTGGCCATCTTCTTTTCCCTATCTGCCTTCTTTTCGTAGGTGATCTCAGTCAATCTTAGGCCTTAAATACCATCTTTATGCTGATGCCTTTCAAATACTATTCCCTAACGCAGACCTCTGTTAAGTTTGAAATTCAAATATCTAATGGCTACTCAACATCTCTAGTTGGATGTGTCATGGGCATCTTCACATGGCCAAAATGGAACCACAGTCATCACCCTGGATCCCCTTTCTGTCCCCCAAATCTGTTATTCTCCAACCCTACCCTTTCTCAGAAAATTGAATCACCATCCATCCAGTTCCTCAAGCCAAAAGTCTAGGTGTAAATCTTGAGTCTTCTCTCATGTTCCATATCAATTCATCAGTAAGTCCTATTGGCTTATCTCTAGATGTATTCTGAATCTGATTTCTTTTTATTTTTAGAGTAGGGCTACAACCCTATTCTAAATCATCATCATCTTTTGCCTTTTACCATTGCAGTAAACTCCTAAATGGCTTCTTTCCTACTCTTGCTCCTCTGCAGTCCATCTTCCACAGAGTAGCCATGGTGATCTTTATAAAGTATCAATCAAATCAGATTACTCCCCTGCTTAAACTCAATGATTTCTCACTGCAACTAGAATAAAATCCAAATCCTTACTCTAGCCAATAAGATCCTGCATGATCTGGTACCTTCACACTAATTTTCCTTGTTTCTTAAGCATATCAAGTTCACTTCTACCTCAAAGCCTTTGCAGTTGATGTTCCTTCTTCCTGGAACACTCTTCAGATCTCTCTGGCCACCTCCTCGTTATCATTTATACCTCACCTCAACTGTCATTTCCTCAGAAAGGCTTTCCATGACTAACCTGGCTAAAGTCACACAGTTTCTACCCTCACTCACTCTCTACCACATTATCCTCTTTTACTTTCTTCATAGCACTGATTAGTGCCTGGTATTATCTCATTGTTTATATTTTTATTGTCTCTTTCTTATTTCTAGAATGTAAAGACATTGAGGGAGGGACTGTGGCTCTATTTCCTGGTATATTCCCAGCACTTAAAACACTTCCTGGCATAAAATAGGTGCTCATCTTACATTCTGTCTATGACTACAAGTTTCCAATCACTAACACTCAAATATTCCTCAATCACTAACCTTCACAAACTTCCCCCAGTTATGGAACCTTGTAAGTTCCCAATTACCATTCTCTACAAAACAATTATTAACCTCCACAGACCTCCAATTACTGACTCCTACAAGAATCCTCAATTACTAAACCCTGCGATCCCTCCAGCCCTTGACCCCTTCAGGTTCCTAGTCACAGAATCATAGAGGACCTTTAATCATTAATTCCTACTAATCACCTCATCACTGAAAGCACTGTTGACTCCTGGACCTAGTCACTGACTGCAGAGAACTCCCTAGAGACATAGAAATCATCTACCATCTCCAGAGACACCTCAACGTTGGCTCCCCACACTCCACCAAATACTATCTCTCAAAGATACTGCTAATCAGACTTCCACAAACAACATCATCACTGGCCCTCACAGATACTCCCAATCACCAACCCCCCCAAATCCCAACACTGCCCTCTTTGACAATCCCTTCTCGAACCACCACAGGCCCCTATTATCGCTGGCTCCCACAGACCTTCCCAATCTCTGACACATCATGAAGTCCCCCTTTTTGATCCCCATAGCTTTCCAAACCCTGACCTTTCAGGGACTGCCACCGGTGTCCCCCACAGTCCTCTCCCCCTCCCTTTGTCTCCACAGGTCCCTAAAAACACTAGTTTCCTAAAATTGTAGCAATCACTGACCCCACAGACACCACCCACATCACTACCCCACAGATCTCTCAGAACACTAACCTCCCCCAAAACCCTCTAGCGTCGACTCCACCAATTTCCAAATTACCTGTCTTCACAGACTACAGTAACCCTCCAGTCACCGACCCCCAATTAGAGCATCTATGGCCTGCAAACTCCCTGTCCCATCACCATTCTCACCGCGGCGCTGGCCCCGGGCGTGGGCACAGCAATCTCCAGTGGACGCCCGGCCTCTTCGGCAGTATCCGGAATCCTCCTCAGGTTAACGGTCTCTAGCTTTGTTAGGATCTGGTCGCAGCCGGAGGCCGTCATGGCGATCACCCGGAGAGCGGCCGCAGCCGGTCCCGCAGCTGCGATGGCGGCGCCCCTGTGGAATCGCCCGCGGGCGCGGCCATCTTGGCAAAGACCCCGCCGTACAGCGGAGACGCGGGGGCCTCTGGGACTGGGTCGGGCAGCAGAGCGGGGCGAGGGGGTTACCAGGAGGGTCCTGGAGTGGAGAGATGGGAGCGGGCGGGAGCCCTGCTGAGTTAGTCGGGTGCCTTCCTGTACGTGGATGTAGAAGAGCCATTCAACACCCTCGCCGCTTTCTTCCCTGATGCAGGGAGGCTCTAGGCCCGACAGCCCACCCTCGGCGCTCAGAGATTTCACTGCAAGAAGACTGCTTGCAGAACTTGCAGTCAGTGCAGCCAGCTGCCAAAACCCAGAAATCGCAATGCCTTGTGCGGACGTCAGACAGCAAGAATGAGAGAATTTGGAGGGAGAAAGGAAAAATGCCTGATCGGGCAGATAATTTTTTTATAGAGAGAGGACATTAATATTTGAGATATATAATAAATCCTTTAATTTATGGTGTAAGAACGATAAGAAAAAATGAAGCAGCGGGTTGAGTGAACACACCACTTCTGGTGAGCCAGCCAGTGACCAGAGATGACAATGACATCTCTACCGCCCATCAGGCTGGCCTCCCCCCTTTCCTTCCTCTTCATTTAACCGGACCATTCAGATATTTGCCCTTTCAAGAAAATGAAGTGACCACCTCTCAGTCACAGCATGACCTCCTGCTTGCTTTAAACTTACCGATTAAAGCTCCCCGAGGGAAATTTGTTTGGATAATGCCCTAGACAAAATAGAGGCATGGGCCCACCGGTCCCCCTCCCGCCCTCCTCCCCCACTTTTGCCTGAGTTCCCTGACCTCCCTGTGTGTGTGGACTCCTCCAGGCATATCCTGTACGCCGCAGGGTCTGTAAGCACTAAACATTCTTAAATTTTCACTTCGTGGTTGTGTCATTGAAGCCCTGCCTGCAATCCAACCCCTGATGGAAAGGAAACCTCAAAGGGACCCATGCAGGTAGGTCCCCTGCTGGTGCTCTTTGGTCCAAGCCTCTCAGCTTCTGGGGCCCATGACTCACAGGAGCAAACTCTAGAAGGGAGCGTGCGGCCCCGGACACAGCCCAGCCCCGGCTGGCAGGCTGCGAACACCCTGGTCTGCCACCCAGGGCTCCCCAGGGCCACCTGTCCTGACAGCCGTGCGCCGGCGGCCATCAGGGCTCAGTCTGCGGGTCTAGGCTCAGGGTGTCTGTCCCAGGACTTCGGGCTCAGGGCCTGACAGCGTCTTGTGGGGCGGCTGTGGCTGCGCCCACACACCTGGGCCGGGCAGGGCGCAGTGGCCACCACGGCCTCCCTGTCTGGGCTCTTCCAGGGCCTGCTCAGGGTTCAGCTACTTACAAGTGTTACTGTTGTCAAAAGGACATCGAGAATACTGTGTAATGTCAGAAGATTCTCATGGGGAGAATAAAAGCTCTAAAAAACGACACCCATAAAGCAGACTTAGCTACCTCGTCATGAGAGTCGCCGTCACACAGCTACATGTGGGGATGCCGTGGACCCCACTGCTACGTCCTGCCACTGCTGGGAGCCCCTCAGTCAGCTTCAGGGTGGGTGACAGACGAGTAGCTGCTCATTTCACTAGATGTGGAGGCAACGTTTGGGGGTGGCTGAGCCCTGCTCTCACGCTGGCAGGGGGACATGGAATCCATGGATGGGGACCAGCTGCCGGCTGCCTCAAAGCACTTAGCCATAATGCCCGAGGCGGGACTGACCTGCAGCTTCCCTCAGCCAGCAGGTCCCCTTCCTCTCCCCTGCGGTCCTGCAGAACAGAAGGGGACGGGACTGGTGGCTCTGTGGTGTGTGGTAGAGAGCACACAGGGAGGGGCCTGGCTGCACAGACAGGGTCGTGAGCAATGGCTCTTTGAAGGTTCTCCAACTTCTTGTCCTCTCACGCCCCCAGAGAGGACAGGGACACCTGACATGAGGGGATGTGTGGAGTAACCTTGGGCAGTGGGTGTGACCGCCACAGCGCCAGGTGGGCCCAGGACGGTGAAGCAGGAGCATGTCCTCTTCTCTCCAGGACAAGAGGGGACCAAGAGGAGGAAGAGCAGCAAATGTCTCAGCAAACCCAAGGGGGAGGGACAAGGAGGTTACAGCTTTAAAGGAGGAATCTGATCACAGCCACAGAAGCATTCAGCTCCTTTCCAGCGACTGCAGGGGCGACTCTCTTCCAAGCGAGGAACACGACAGTACACCTCTGCAGGAGCCACACATCCCTACCATGCCGATGTCCTGAAGGGGGTGAGGAACAGGAAGAAGTTTCCAGTGCCTTCTGGACAAGGGCTGGGTGAGCTTGGGGGATATTGCTGTGGTGGGTCCTGGGCTGACAGGTGCAGGGCCGAGGAGCAGGCTAGGTGCTATGCAAGTATCTGTCACGTCTGTGGCATAACTGTGAGCTTGACAATGAGTTGTCCTTGCTGGGTGTGTACCTTGAGGAAAAGAGGCACCTTTCCATGCGGACTCTCCATGTTGGCTGACAAATGGATTTGTCACAGGTCAGAAGGATCATCCGGCATCACTGGTGAAAATATCTTTTCAGTCCAACCCTACACCTTAGAGAAATGAGGCAGAGGTGAGGGAGAAATCGTGGGCGGCAGGTACCTGCGGGTCCTGCCATGGCCACTGTGGAGTGCAGTGGTCCCATCTCCGCGGACATGTGGTGCAGCTCGTCTCTGAGCACAAACACAATGGCTGTGGCGATGTTTTCTGACCTGGAAGTATTTGTTTCGTTGCTGACCCGTGGTCTTCTTATTGCCATTCTTTATGACATGGCGCAGGATCTTGTCCTCGGTGCACACAGCTGTCCTTGAGGGTGATGACCCCTCTGTGGCCTTCCTGTGCTAGGGAGCCCCACGGAAGCAGACTTTGGGCTCACACCTCATGGGCACAGGTGGCTCCTGCCGTCTGTAGGAGGCTGCAGTGCTCCTGGGCTCGCCTTGGACATGCTCAGCCGCTGAAGTCACCCCGCCACAGCGTCCGAGTGAGTCTTCTCGTTCCTGCACATCCACGTTCTCTGGTCAAGGCCGTTAAAGGGCGATGCAGACACTGCTGAAAAAGAAGAGCCACAGTGAAGGGGAGTCACCTGAAGGGGGCACGGGCTTCCTGGGAGTCCCCATGAAATAAGTAAGGGAAGAACTCCCGGAGCCCGCATGGAGCCTCTGCCCAGCGCAGGTGCGGGCGGAGCAGCTCATGCTGCTG